TAAATTTAAATATTTTGTCAAGCATATTTGTTTAGATTCTGATAGCTGTTTGAGTTTTTCTTTGTAGTGGATTGTCACGATAACAAAATTATGGGTTCTATTTTGGTGGCTCTTTGCAAATTTTAATCTGATATTTAGTGTCAACGATGTAATTGCTATTTATCTGTCCAGGCTTGCACTTGAATGCAACTTGTCTGAGTACCATAATTTAGAAACTTAATTGATTATTGTTTTGAATAGTGCTCTCGAGCTTGATAGGAAGGTTATCCATGTATTACTAGAAACTGTATGGTTACATTTCATCCTTGCTGACAATTATTCTCTTTTAACTCAATGATCTTTTCAGAAAGATGCCATTATGGCAATGTATGCACAACTTTACTGAACAGAAAGGTGTCATTATGCATTTGTTGACATTTTTGTCAAATTGTCTCTTAAAATAATTGATTATTCATTCGAGTGAAAACTTCTAATCAAGCGGTACTTTTTATTTATGCTTGTTCATAAATGGTAAAGTATGCAAGTGACCTGTCCAATCAAAGTGGAATTTTTTATGTTGTTTTTATATATATATAGTTTGATGCTGTTTGCAAAGTTATTTTTCAGCTTCCTGTGAGATTATGAGCAGCTTATACATGGCTTGTCCGATTCTAGTTCCATTAAGGATGAATGAGATGTAAAACTTCTATGAATTTTCATTTATTTTTTGTTATTTTTCTGCAGTTAAATTTGTGCAACAGTGATGCCTTTGCATTGTAAATTGGTTATGCATCTGCCAGGGTTAACAAACTTACTCCGATAGATTGGTTTAAGTAAGTTGTGTTCATGATTTTCTCATTACAGAATGTGGCATCAGAATAAAAGATTGACGACAAGGAATGCAGATGTGGAGCGCCCTTTGCTAAATGGTCTTCTGGTTCAGAATCAGACACCTGACTAATATTGCCTGTAACTTTCCTGCAGATTAGTCCGTTCCGCTTCCAATTTTCCTTCTTGATCATTCTTTATTATTTGATGTATTCACGTTCAAAAAGGTTAGAGAACCCAATCTTTTGCATACCCTAGAATTTTGTATATTGTCCGCTAGGGAAAGAGGGAAGAGAATTCATTACAGATGGGTCAAATTATAGTTGAATTTAGCATGATCGATTAAAATCAGAGTTATCTTTACATTTCTTTTTGGTTGAGGTGTCAATGTAATGAGGAGCGTCTATACTCCTTTGTTAGTGTGTTTCGAAGCCTTCACGTAAACTAATTTGACCAAGGTTGAGTTGATTCAGTTAGGTTATCGAATTAAAGTAAAAGCATTTATTGTTATTTTTTATTTTGTTTTTATCTTCACTCTATTATTTTTATATAAAAATTTGAATATTTTTAATCAATTTTAAAGTAAATATTAGTTCCTTACTCATTTATGATTTAAGAATTTAAAATCTATGAAGCACTGACATTTCAAAAATCTTGAAGTGTTGTGTTACTCATCGATATTCTGACATTTTTTGACACTCCAATACACGTTGCAAAGACTCAAAAAAAAGTTACGTTGCGTTGCATTTTGAGTTTCAACTATTAAATTTGTTAGATTATGATTATAGTTTTATTAAGTTTAATATAAACGTTTGAGATAATATTATGTTTCTTTGCAAAATTGATGGGTATTTTAAGTTTAATTTTATTTTTTTGTTAAATTATTAATACTAAATATAATATACTCTATATAATTAAAAATATTATATAATATCAAAACGTGTCTTAATCCGTAAATAAAAATTTGGCTCGGCCGTTAGGAGTGTGCAAAAATATTGGTTCATTTGTCCTGTCTTTGATCCGACCTTGACCTGACCCATAAATACCTATTTTTTTAAACTGGGTTTAAATATTGATTCACTTATATTTGGGTAAATTTTATACCTGACTTGTTTTAATAATGACTCATTGACTCAAAACTTAACCCACACCCATTAATTGAAAAAAAAAAGAAAAAAACAATAACGTCAAATTTTTTTACGTAAATTATTTCAATCAAAAATTTTTGACGAAAAATATTTTCATCAAAATTTGTGACAAAAAATATTTTTTTAAAAAAATTGATGGAAAATTTTTTTTTCAAATTTTTTTATGGAATTTAAATTTTGTCAAAATATTTCAAAAAAAACACATTCATCAAAAAATTTGACGTACATCGAAATTTTTTGATGAAATTTTTTTTTATCAAAATTCTATACAGAATTCAAATTTCGGCGAAAGTTTTTGACGGAAACATTTTCGTTAAACTTTTGACAAAAAAAAAATTTAATCAAAATTTTTAGCGAATCACATTTCCATCGAAAATTTTCGACTAAATATTTTCGTCAAACTTTTTGATAAATAATATTTCCATCAAAATTTTCAACGGTACACATTTCTGTCAAAAATTTTCATAAAATTTTTTGACAGAATATGTCGATAAAAAATTTTGGCGAAAAAAATATTCGGTCAAAATTCTTTAGAGAATCTAAATTTCGTCAAAAGTTTCGAATGAAACATTCCCCTCAAAACAATTTTCGTCAAAATTTTTGTGAGAACACATTCCCATCGAAATTTTGAACGAAAAATATTCCGTCAAAATTTTTGACGGAATTCTTTTTTCGTTTAAAATATTTGATGGAGGAAATCATTTTCGTCAAAACTTTTGACAGAAAATAAATTTCGTCGAAAATTTCGATAGAAAATTTATTTTTGTAAAAATTTTCATAAGAGAAAAAATTCCGTCACTTTTCGACAAAAAATATTCCGATGAAAAAATAATTTTGTGACGAAATTTTCGTCGTTTGCAATGTAAAAATTTCATCGAAAATATGATATTTTTAGTATTGTGAAAAGTACATAAATAATTTGTTAGAAATTTTAAATTTAATTTGTAAAATATAATATTTATATTAACTTAAAAAATGGTTAAAATATCTCATTAACCTTCCATTTTTCTCCCTTACCATTTTTTTAACTTCCAAACAAGAGAAGAAAATACCCTTCAATTTTCTTCCCTTCTTTCTCCTCCCTCCCCTTTGAATCCCTTTCATTACCTTCCCCTCCAAACTTCCATACAAAGCCTTAAATTTTCTATTTTCTTTGTAGTTGATAACTAAAATTATATATGTACAATCATATATTAGCCAAGAGTTGCCTTAAACTAATTGATCTCTCCCTAATAATAATTGTATAATTTGGGTTTGAATTTATGAATTTTCTATCAGTAGACATTATGTAATTTTATAATATATCATTGTTAAAATTAGTTATTTGTCATCTTAAGATGGGAAGAGCGTTTTCTCATCTTTTACTTTTCATTAATTTTCACTAATTTTGCTTCACATGTTGAGGGGCTTAAAATTACATTCCTTTATTTATTCAACAAATATCAAATTTATTATAAAATTTATATATTTAAACAAATAAATAATCAAATTACATGAGTTTAAAAAATAAATCAATAACTATAAAAAAATCAAATTTAAAACAAGTTTTGAAACCAAGTCAAAAACGGGTCAGGTCGGATTTGACCCACTTCAGAAACCAAGTCAGGTCAGATCCGACCCGGTTCTGAACTAGTTCAAAAAAATCCAAACCAAGTCAGACCTGACTTGGATCAAATTAAAGCGAGTCGGGTCAAAATACCTGACCTATAAAAACTAAGTTGGGTCGTGTCGGCACAAAAACCTGACCCATGCACACCCTTACCGGCCATCGACCCGGTTGAGGTCAGGGGTCACGGAGTCACGGGTTCAACTGGGGGATCACGAGGTCACTACGCTGACCTAATTTTATATATTAAAAAATATAAATATATATATCCTATATGAAAATATTAAAAAATAAACCACCAATCATCAAAGATTCAAAATATATTTAACATAATTCATCAATTATAACCACAAGTCAATATTACGTAACCTAATTAAAGTATCAAGATACCAAAGTACAAAACTCATATTCTAATGGGGTCACTACGCTGACCTAGTTCTACCTCTTTTGAGAAAGTCCATGACAAAGGAAAATTTAAAGGAAGTAAGAATGAGTTTTTGTTTTTCATTGACCACTGTAAGAATTTCAATTGAATGGGTAAAATTCTTACCTTTTCTTGAAGATTCACGGCAACGAGGTGAAGATTGAAGACGTCTAGGTCGCTGGGAGAGAAGAGAGCGATTAGATTTAAGTTTGCAAGCATTTTTATTTTATTTTTTTAATAAAACGAAGTTGTTTCATGGAATTTTTTTAAAAATAAAACATGCAGTGATCCCCTTTGACCCCTATGACCCGGGAGTGAAACCCGACCAGTTTAGGGTTGACCCGGGTCAACCCGGGGGACGAGATGAGGTTTTAAAACACTGGTCCTAATGTGTCAAAATTTAACAATTTTTAGAATTAACTTGTCGGAGTGTCGTGTCGTATCCTGTGTCAGTGCAATATAACTTAAAATAGTGGGTTTTTTGATTGTGTTTTGTTTTTTTTTTTAAAAAAATTGTACAATAATTACTGAAATAGGTATTTTTTGTATTTTTTTGTGTTTTAAAAGTTAAAAGTCAAAATATAAAATAGAAATAACTTAGACATGTTCTCTAAATTTAATTTTAAAAATTAAAAATTAATTATAATTTTTATAATTATTTTTACGAAATAGGTCTTATCAAATAGATTTTTTTATTTTTATGTTATGAAAATAAAAAATAAAAATTGTTTTTGAATACAGAATTGAAACATGCCTTTAGTTTTCCTTACAATGAGGGTTTTATTTATGAGAAACATCCAAACTAAATAAACTCTAGAATCTAGATTTTAACCCATATTATATAGGACCAGCATAGTTATTCCAAAGTCCATCTCCAAAACTATTACTAGAAGAACATCTTAATTACATGTTCATCATGACAAGCAATCTAATGGTAAAACTGAGCAGAACAAACCAACTCCATCAAATCCGTATGTCTATTATTTCCTTCTAAACTATATTGATCCTCAAGCAGCTAGTCCATGTTCTGGTTTTGAATCTCATAATCACAACAAGGTGATGAACTGTCAGTTCCATTCAGCAAGTGAGAGAGAGAGAGATCAGAATCAAGGTAATTGATAGGTGTAGGAGTCTTTCTAGGTGTGAGACGACTCTCATCCAAGTACATGTTATGTGAACTTGGATTTGGGTTGGAATGAGGGAAACCACCCTCAATCACATCAGTGAGAAGTTGATCACCATTAAGAGATTCAACATTGGCAAGTTGTTGTTGGGGCTGATTCTCCTTGAAAAGTTGTTGCATGAAAAGCAACTCATCATCATATTCAGCAACTTGTGGGGATAAGGAATTGTCATCAGAATCAGAGAGTTGAGATAAAACGAGGCGTGATTGAGTTGTTGTAGTTGTAGTGCTAAAGGGAGGAGTAGTTGTTGTGGCAGTGATGATGCTCTTTGTGGGGTTAATGAAGGTGGTGCTATTAAGAGTCTTGCTTTTGATATAGTCTTCAAGTATAGAGGATTGTGGCTTTCCATTAGAAGTTACTGTCCTGTTATTCTTTCTCCTTGAATTTTGCCTCCTTTTAGTTGCATTCCAATGGTTCTTTATTGCATTCTCTGTTCTTCCTGGAATAAGCTTTGCCATCTCTGCCCAACGATTTCCAATCTTAGCATGTGTTTCCACTAATATCTTCTCCTCTTCTTCACTCCAACTATCTTTCTGTAAAATGTTTAAACAGGCAAGAGGAAAATGATAGTTTAAAATATTTTACATTATATATAAAGAATGAGGATATTCTAACTACCAAAAATTTTCACTACTAACTTACTATCCATCACTACCATTGGATCAAAAAGAGAGAATGTTAAAAAGTTTTTAAAGAGAGAGAAAATATTAATCTAATAGTGATTAGATAAGTAGTAAGTTGGTAGTAGAAAATTTTGGTAGTAAAAATATCCCTCCTCATATATAAATGACATTATTTTTTCATACAAATAAACTATCAATTACATAAATTTATAAAATAAGAAACAAAGAATTGTGTAACTATCTTTCATGTTAAGCAGTTAAGGAAAATTATAGTTTATATATTTTACATTCTATATAATTGACATTATTTTTTCATATAAACCACTTTTGAGGATCCAAAATTGGTTTTTAGAGGCAAATTAAATAAGAAATCGTGAGAGGAAGCAAGATCTGAATAAAAAAAATAAGAAATATATGAATGATTGATTAGAAATATGTCAAACAAAAATGACCCATGTCAGTAATGATATGTGAAAAGAAAAATAGATCATTTATAAATCATAAATTTGGGATAGGATATTGTGACACATTACGCACAATGTTACGCACAATCTTAACCCACATGCATGGTGGTAACATTGTGCGTAATGTTATTTGTGTGTCACAATATCCTATCCTCTTAAATTTATAGAAAAAGAGTAGGAAGAATGGTCAACCTACATATACCAAAACAGATCATTAAAAATCTTAAGTATCTATCTAGAAACTCCGAAATAAGAAAATATACATAGATTTCAGGGTGATCTTCAAAAATCTTTGTTAAGTTCTGATCAATTATTACATGCATATATTTAAATAATTGATATTAAAATAACCCTAGGGCATAGGGCATTTTAAATTCGAGACTTATAAAAAGTGTATATATATTGAACATGAACAAAAATTAGCATGAACATCAAGGATTACGAGAGCAATTAATAGACCTTAATATCTGGGCCCAGATGATTACGCCATCTCTCGCTACACTGCTTGCCAGCTCTTCCATCCAAATTCTCAGCTATTTGAGACCATTTTCTTACACCATATTGCTCCACCAACTTTAACAGTTTCCTTTTTTTTTTTTATAACAAATAAAAAAGAAAAACACCTTAGAACTCTAGTGCAAATATATAACAATCAAACTAAAACATGTATATAAAAAATGTACACAAAAAAAAAAAGTGTTGTTCTCAATACTCAACCTGTCTTCTTCTTCACTCCATTTTCCTTTGACTAGAGACACAGAAGATCCTTTCTTAGGCATTCTTCCCACAACTTTTGCATTATTCCCTAAAACTTGCACATCTTTCTGACACAACGTAGGGTTTTGGTGTGTCCAATTCAGAGCCTCTTCATTTGGTAAGAGGTGATGAGTTATAAAGCTTGCTTCTTGAGTGTTATGCAAGAGATCATACTTATAGGTTGAATCACCCGAACAAGCAAAACTGCAAAACTCATCATCAAAAACACTTGCATGGTTGTTCTTTGCAATATTGCTCTGTGGGTGTTGCTTCGGAGGGCTCTGTGGGTGTTGCTTCGGAGGGAAGTGATTTTGTTGGTTCCCTAAGAACTTATCTATGGCTGTTAAAGGAGGACCTGAACAACACATAAAAGAAGGGTTTGTGAGCTTTATGTTTCCCCAACCATGAGTTGAAATAGTGGCATTATCATAGTCACTACCTTCACCTCTTGGGGTGTTCATGGAAGGTTCTTGATGGAGACTAAATCAAAATGGAAAAAAATTGGTTTTCGGTGAGGTTTATTTTGAGGAGGAAACGGTGGATATACAATATATATATATATAATGAAGCTTATTTTAAGCTATGTAATTAGACACATGGATTAGAGGCTATTGATTATATGCACTAAATCGAAGGGCTAATTAAGAGTCAACAATGTTGTAACTCCTGAACTTCATTTTGGACAAAATTTAGTCTGGGGGAGGAATCAGAGTGTTGTTAACCCCCATATTATTTCATTAATGGTATGTTTTAATTCGTAATTTAATTTTGAATTTTCTCTAAATTATGATTTTAAAAGAGTTGTTCAATATTTTAGGTAACTGATGTTGAAATATTAATAATCATAATTGACTAATTAATGGTGTTTTTAAATTTTGAATAAAATTTAAAAAAAATATAAATAAAAATATTTTAAAAAAATTTAAAATCACAAATAAAGTATGCAAAATTATTATAAAAAAAATATGCAAAATTAATTCATGTTAAATTTTTAAAACATATATATTAAAAGAGAACAAAAATTAAAATTATAAAATATGTATATAAATTTATAATTGAAAATTGAAAAATAAAATGACATGTATCCTTATTAGGGTAAAATATAGACAGAGATTATTCCACTTTCAAAAAAAGTATTCTAATTTATATATATATATATATATATATATATATATATATATATATATATTCCATGGTAAAATCACTTATCTGAGAGCGGATACTATTTCAAATTCAAATATGAAAACTTCATTTTATTATATGTATGAGTAAGCGTTATTGTATATTTAAAATCGTTGAGGATACATATTTTTTTCTTAAACATATCACATGCAAAATGATTTAGGATTGCAAGGCTTTTAAAATACACATATGTGAGTAGCACATTGCAAGATGTGATAATTTCAAATATGCTTGTCGACCTTGCACAAAAATATGGTTCCGCCAATTTAATCAATCAGATAATTATATTTTAAATAACGCTCTACTGCCAAATAATAATAATAATAATAATTGAAAAACGAGAACATTACATTTGATTAATTTCATCAATGCGAGTGCACTGCTTAACACTAGAAATTTGCTTAACACTTATAAGTGCCACTGGTTTTGTGCTTGTCTTCTTCAACCCCATCACATGAACAAGAAAACAAGTATGCTGACGGTGAGAGAGCAAGCATTTCCTAAAAGAGCCCCAACAATTTCTGTTGGAGATTATATATAACAGTATATTGTTTGAATTCTTTGTAACGTATATTGTTTGAATTCAATTCTTTGTAACCATAGGTTTGAATTCTTTGTAACGTATATTGTTTGAATTCTTTGTAACCGTAGGACTGTTTAGATAGAGTATTTATTTGTTTTAGTCTGTTACGTTGTTACCATTTATTGTATGTTCGCCTATTTAAAGGCTACCAATGAATGAGATAAACATGTAGTTGAAATATCAAGTTTATCTTGGTATCAGAGCAATCCTAGTATACACGTTTCCGCATTCCCTTTCAGTGCGAAAGCTGGTTCATTTAACATGGCACCAGGTGGTGGCAGCAAGTCCAAAACAACTGATCCTAGTTCGCCATTTTACTTGGCTGGATCCGACAGTCCAGGTCTCTTATTAACGACTGTCGCGTGGTGAAGCCAACTATGACAACTGGGCCAAGCTCATGAAAAACGCATTGAAGGCGAAAAACAAATTGGATTTTGTGACCGGTTCAGTCAAGAAACCAGGAGAGGATGATGCCGAAGAGTGGCGTGCCTGGGAGATGTGCAATTCGATGCTCAATGGTTGGATTCACAACACCATTGATGCAAAACTTCAACCATTCATCAAGTGCTTTGATGACGTCAAGGACTTATGGAATGACCTAGAGGAAAGGTAAGCAGTGCAAAACTTTCCAAGACAGTATCAACTGAAATCCAGTTTAGCCAATATCAAGCAACATGGAGATAGCGTTGGTGATTATTACACCAAACTCAGGGTTGTATGGGACGATCTGGAAGGCAGCAAAACTCGCAAGTCTTGCGGTTGTGGTGATAAGTGTGCCATTGCCAAAGCAATCGAGGAGGAGCAAGAGCATGATCGCGTTTATCAATTTTTGATGGGGCTGGATGAATCTACATTTGGCAATCTGAGATCCCATATCCTCAACACTTCTCCTCTTCCTAGTGTCAACAAAGTGTACGCAATTGTCACTCAAGAGGAGACCCATCGTAGTATTTCTCGCGTTCAAGATGAGAGGAGTCAGGTAGTGGGATACTCAGCCCAAACCGATTCCATGAAGCAGTCAGACACGTCCATGCAGCAGCGGATGGTTCCTAACAAACCACGAGACAGAATACCTTGCCCTCATTGTGGCAGGACCAATCACGACCCTTCCAAATGCTGGAACGTTCATGGGTTTTCCACCAAACAGGAGTGCTGGTCGCGGACGAGGAAGGGGAGGACGTTCGGCAGGACGTTATACGCATGCTCATGCGACGTTTGCAATGGATGCCTCACACCCAGTTGCTGCTAACTCTCTTCCTCCAGACGTCTCCCATTCTGCCTCTTCTCAAGTTGCTACACACTCCGTTTTGACCCCAGAAATTGTGAACAAACTGTTAACATTGGTAGACCATCCTCAGTCACATGAAAAATTATCTGGTAAGCGTATTCATTCTCAATGGCTCATTGATAGTGGGGCCTCACGTCATATGACAGGCACTTTGGCTTTATTAGCTGACATTACACCTATTCCCCCTCTATCTGTGACTCTACCAAATGGTTCTATTACTTATGCTGCAAAACAAGGCTTGATGGTGTTTAATACAAACTTCAGCTTGTCAAATATTTTATATGTGCCTAACTTACGCTGCAATCTCATCTCTGTTTCCCAATTGCTTCACTCCAAGAGCAGTAGCGTTACATTTACTGATAAAAAGTGCATTTTGCAGGACCAAGTGCTGAAGAGGGAGATTGGTTTGGGTGAACTTCATGAAGGAGTCTATGTGTTTCAGCCTTCATGTGCTTCAGCTTCGGCAGTTCAAGCAGGAGAGTCAATTGACTTGTGGCACAACAGGCTAGGCCATGCATCCTATGATATCTTATCTCTGGTTCCAGAATTTAAAGCTTTGCAAAATAAAGTAGTATGTAAGGCATGTGAAGTTTGTCATCATGCCAAGCAAACTAGATCAATGTTTCCTATAAGTTTTTCTCACAGTAAAGAATGTTTTGATTTAATCCATTGTGACACTTGGGGTCCTTATCAAAATTCTTCTTCTTCTGGTGCACGTTATTTCTTAACTGTGGTGGATGACTATAGTAGGCATGTATGGGTTTTTATGTTGGCCGATAAAAGTGAAACTTATGATCGGATGTGCAAATTTCTTACTATGGTTCTGAACCAATTTGGTAAAACCGTAAAAATAATAAGGTCTGATAATGGTACTGAGTTCAAATCTAATAACATGGTGAAACTCTTGAATGAAAAAGGTATTTTGCAACAAACAACTTGTGTTTATACGCCTGAACAGAATGGTAGAGTCGAAAGGAGGCATAGACACATCCTTAATGTATCACGTGCCTTACTGTTTCATGCAAATCTCCCTGTTGATTTTTGGGAGGAGAGTATTCTTGCTGCTGTTCATATAAATAATAAAACACCTACAAGAGTTCTCCAAGGCAGGTCACCACATGAAGAATTGCATGGAGTTAAACCAGATTATACATACTTGCGCACGTTCGGTTGTCTGTCATTTGCTAATACAAGACTGAAACCAACTGACAAGTTTGCTCCACGTTCGCGACGATGTGTTTTCATCGGATATGCAATAGGGCAGAAAGGTTGGAGATTGTTTGATATAGAAGCGCAACAAAGCTTTGTGTCCAGGGATGTAAAATTTTTTGAAAATATTTTTCCTTTTCGCGAAGCTCCTGTACAATCTGTTTCTGCACCAAATTCTCGTGTGCCTACAGAGCCAAATTACTTTGACGAAGGCCAAATTGTCCATGACGGTTCTGATGCATCAAATGACAGCCCAACGCCTAGTGGATCATGTGTTCCTCTGGACGATAGGGGGAGTGTTTCGCTGGAAGCAACACCAACTAACGAAGTTGCCGCTAGGGAGTCCTCCTTACTAGAAAGAAGTTCGAGTTCTAGTGATGCATCAACCCAACAGCAGTTGCTGGAAGCAAATCTGCGTCAAACAGTCACACGCCAGCACCGTAACATGAAGCAGCCATCTTATTTGCAGGACTACGCATGTCAAGTAGCTGAAACACACACTCCTTCATCTCTCCCTACTCAAACCAATGTCACCTCAGGTACTCGGTATCCTATGTGCAATTATCTTAGCCTCACTAACTTTTCTAAGCAACATCAAGATTTTGTTGCAGCTATTGACACAGGTCATGAACCACGTACATTTCAAGATGCTATGAGAGACTCCCAATGGGTGGAAGCCATGAGGGCTGAAATCACAGCCTTAGAAGACAACCATACATGGTGCCTCACGGATTTACCTCAAGGGAAGCGTGCTCTTCCAAGCAAGTGGGTGTTTAAAATAAAATATCGTTCTGATGGAACGGTGGAACAATATAAGGCAAGATTGGTGATTGCAGGTAATTATCAGATTGCCGGAGAAGTTACAGTGAGACTTATGCACCAGTGGCAAAGATGGTGAGTGTACGTACATTGCTTGCAGTGGCTGCAGCAAGAAACTGGGATTTGCACCAGCTTGATGTTCATAACGCATTCTTGAATGGAGAAATAAGTGAGGAAGTTTACATGAGATTCCCCCTGGATTCAGTACTGGGTCTAAGCATAAAGTATGTCGTCTTACAAAGTCATTGTATGGTTTGCGCCAATCACCCCGAAACTGGTTTTCCAAACTCAGCAGTTCGTTGATGGCATATGGATTTGTTCAGTCAAAAGCTGATTACACGCTCTTTACTATGCAAAAAGAGGAAGTGTCTCTTGCACTT